TTATGGTTTTTAATGTTTCATAGCAAATCATTAATATATTTTTATTATTTTGTTTAGGGTTAAGAATGCACATTCAAATTAAAAGGGCACATTGGATCATTTTAGGAGAGTTTTGAATCATTATAAAAGATAGTCAATGCACTTATTGAGCTCCAACATACAAAAATCAAGGCTTCATTTGAACGAAGTTTTACTATTTGAAGCATAATTTCAAACTTTCATTGTTTAAAGAGTTGCTAGGTTTGATATCTAAAAATGCATTAAATATGATATTAATAGAGGTCAAATGAGCTAATCATGTTGGAATTAATGCACATACTTATGATTACGTGATCAGAATTATGCATGGATTATCTTGTGCTTATGAAGTTACAAAACATATAAGGGTGGGAAGACCAATTTTTTTATCTCAAGTTCATCTGCATTGAAAGAAGTTTGATTTAATAAAGAGTAAAGATACTGAAATATTTGAAAAGTTAACCATCCATTCCGAGGCTGACCAAATCATCAAATGTTTTAATGAATGTGATGAGTTCAGTAAGTTGACCATAAAAAAAAAGTTACGAGAACCTGGTGATCCATCCATAACTATCTTGATGTCACCATTAGAAATGGTAAAGCTAAAAGGTCACAGAGCTTTAAAAGTATATACCTCTACACGACGTGACCCAACATACTAAAAAATTATATTATCAGCTTAGGATAGTACATCACCACCAACCATTGTAAACTTAAAGAAACAAACAGAATAGATTGCTAAACTTTATGTTCATCAACCCTATAGTAAATAAAAAATATGATATTTAGATAGTTTGCTAGTAGAGTTACATTCATATATACACAGCATCGTTGATGTTAAGGTGGATGGACATTATGGTTTTCATTCTATTACTGGATTGCTTGGATTGGGATTAGATAGTTGGGTACAGGTGCAACAAGATTTAATTGAATAGCTTAATTGTTTCGAAGCTATTATTTACCTTTGAATGGATCCATGAAGCGTGTTAAAAAGTTGTTACAAATGTTATCGTGTTTCAAAATTTTTGCCTCATATGATAGGTGGATGATTTTATCTTATATGGATCATTTGATTGACTCCTGATATAACATCATGCTAGTCCACATTAGTCTAAGATAGTGCCTGATATATCTCCTTATTAGATTTGCATTACTTGCACTATTGAAGTACAGATTAATTATGATTAGATTTGTTAATGGTTATCATTTTATGCAGGTACTGTTAATTAGTGTTGTCATTTACTATTTATATTTATCGTTTCTATTTTATATATGTATTATTGACATTATATAAATAACATTCTTATATTATGTAGATGTTTTTGAAGCCATTCTCACCAATACCTTCTATTGCATGCAACTAGTGTAAGATTTAATATAATTATGCTCGAAAGTGGGAGATTCCATATGTATCCCACATTGAAGATTTTAAATTATTGTTTAGTTCATATTCTGATATGGCCACTCAAGAAATAGTAGATATTAATGCATTATTTTTGTAATAATTGTTAACAGTTTATATTAATGTTTATGGTTTATATTTGTTTATAGTTTATATATTGAACATGTTATCCAAAGGACGATTATTAAATTAAGGGAAATTTTTATTTCAAATATGCGAGATTTATTATTTTACTCTTTGTTTTCCACATAAAAAGCATGTTTTATATACATAGAGCAAGAAGATAATTAGATTTACAAATTGAGTTGTCTAGTTAGAAAATGAAAATTGATGTTTTTGAATCTTTATAATAATTTCACTCTGTTACTTTTGTTTCCACATAAAAACCATGTCTAAAACTATCAAGTGGTAAGTTTTTCTTAGGCTTTGAAAACACATTTCTCAAGTTGGATGGGCAGTTGCAACCCTTTTTTGAACTTTCAAAAACATGCTTTACCATTCTCGAAAATGTATTTACAAGAATACAACATAATTATCCCATTATATTGAACATGTTATCTAATGGGATGTGTCACATTGAATAAATAACAACCTAATGAATATTTTATAAAAATAAACTAAATATAAAATAATTAACTACATATAAAATTAATATCTAAACTTAATTAACTAAATATAAAATCAATATCAATATATAGTAATAAATATATCAATTCCTAACCTTTGGCCTCTCTATTGGCCTTTTGCCTCGAAGATATATAAGTGGTATAAAAGGAGTCAGTTCAGTTATCTGCATCAAAGTTTGTGGCAAGGTTGATACCGTTGTCTCTACAAAAAAAATCGGGTAAAGATGATGATGTGGCTAATGCTGCTAGTGGTGGGGATGTCACAGACATTAGTGGGCTAAGAGGTGTTGATGGAGCATGCGTGAGCAGGCTTAGAAGTGTTAATGTTAACGAGACTATGGATGGAGCGAGCACGAGTAGCCTAGATGGTTTAGGTGGTCTAAATGCATGAACTAATAGTGTAGGAGTTGATGCCAATCTAGACTGATTGTTGTTACCTACAACAATATGGTTAGACTTATCTAATATGCCTCATACTTGGATAATGGCATCTTTCCAATAGTTAATGTTTTGACCAAATGTGCTAGCTAAGATATGGTCAACAAAAGGTAAAGCAGTCGAGCTTTATTATAAAAATATTAATAATGTTATCAGTATTAATATCATATAACTAAAATTAACCAACTAAAAAAACTTAAAATGATAAAATTTATAACTTATTGAATCGCTTATATGTGTAGTATCAATCAACTGAGGATGAAATCTGAAATGATGTTTTAGATTTTGAATTTGGGGGTGTGAAATAGCTATGAATCAGGCATCATAATTGGATAAACACTCTCAATGTCTCTGACATCTGTAGCCTCGACGTTCAACCAACACTACGTGCATATCCCATCATTCCCAATGTTGTTGCAAGAACTATATGCAACATCGTATTAGTTAGACGATGATCCTCGCTAGCACGATACTGGGCCAAAGGTCTCAACAAAATAGTCTGTATAAAGCTGAACCAGTATAGAACCCTTTTTGGGTGATATGGTTATGCAATTGTCCTGCACTTGATGCATTTAGTGAAAAAGCAATCTCGTGCAATAGATGTGCCTCTCGAAAATTGACATATGATTCCTAGCATACATTCAATACTATCAACCCATCCAGACACTCATGTAAAGCTTGCAATGTATCAGCATAAGTATGAGCTTTTCATCGTTAAGCACACGATAAATTGTTTAAGTATGTCAAATCAATGATTGGCCATAACAATGAAAAATGCTTGTAAATTCACCTACATGAAATACATAAGTAATATTTCATTAGATAATCACATTTATGACTAATAAAAATTAAATCAAATAATTATAATAAAATTTTAACTAATTATAAATACATACCTGGATAAGTGTTAGATATCTAGCGATTTGATACATGTTTGTCATGTTTACAATCTTAAGTTGGCTATACAAATAAGTGAGACCAATTATCCCTAAGCATAGCTCCCAATGGTAGTGAGGTCCTCTAGTAGGGGTAAGTACATTATCGAGCTTCTCATACTGATATTGTAATAATATAATGTACACCTTAACAAATATAGTAAAAAAACTTGAAAGGCACCAACAGTCGCCTTATCATTTGATGCATCAGTGACATGCCTAAAGTTGTCACATAACCAAGATAGTCAAATAATAGATCTTTTACCCAAGGTGGTCTTTCATCTTGTTATATCATAAGTAACTTCAAACAACGTTGACAATAAATTGGTCGCCTTATGTATCATCAAATGAGGCACTGAAATCATAGTCCTAATGATCGATATGTGAGTTACGATAAACACATTGTCCACCGTGATAGTCATCTCACTGAACTGCATATGAAATGTGTTCATCTGTGGTTGCCATCTCTTGAAAAAATGGACATTATAGTGTTGTTAATGGTACGATAAGTGCAATTGATGAGTAAGAATAACCCTGACTCAACCACATGGGCTCAGATTCTACTGTGTGCATTATCTATATGCCATTGCTATAACTTCGACCCATGGTTAATTAACTTCAACATATCTTTTTCCTATAACAATAACAACAATAACAAAAAGAAGATCAATAACATACATAATAACATTAATAACAACAATCAACCAACACCCTCTAAAGGCATAAATTGTATTACATGATTCGAGTTATTACCTAGTCATTCCAAATTTGGAATGCAACATGAGAAACAAAACTTAATATAATGGAGGTATTAATTGGACCTCCTAGAAAAGACTTCAGCAATGCTCATATGTGGTGGAAGTCAAAGGCTCAGCCTGAGGAATGTCATTAAAGGTACAATCTTCGGGCTCACCGTCTCCTCTACTCACCATCTCCTTTCAAAGTTAGTCAGATGCCGCCAACTTGGACCGACATCAGCTCCGATACATTTGCCTCATGTACAAACCATATCTGTAACAAAAAACAACAACTCGTTAAACTTACAAAATATATTTAACAAACTTTTGTAAATGAAAAATTAAAATTGACATTAGACAATTTGCATAGGTAAAAAATATGTAAACTCTCAAGTTTGTACAAGATCAATCCCCTGACCCTCTTTATACAAAAAACAAAAAAATAGGACTTAAATCTTCTTGGAAATACATTTTTGAGAATACTTAAAACTTATCAAAAATATATTTTCGAAAAGCTCGAATTCTAACCTAAATTCTATTGTAAACTTTAATCTATATTTTCATTAATTTCAACAAAATTTCAACCAAATTAATCAAAAGAACCTAGGAATCTTACCTTTAATCAATGAAAAACTTAGAAGCATGCAATGATTTGTGGTTAATTTGATAGATTTAGAGGTTTTTTCTATTGATAATGAAGAGACAAGAAAAGATAATGAAAAAGTAAAAAGGTAGAAAGGAAAAATAAAAAAATGAGATGTGAAGTATATTTAATAGAAATACAAAATTTAAGTTTAAATGTGGAGTATACTTAATAGTGGAGTGTATATGGTAAAAATAAGGATATAAATAAAATTCTCCTTCGGTTAAGCTTAGTCTTGAGAGTTCGATTTAAATTGATACCGTTTCTCCTCATAAAATGGAAAAAGATCTTTTGTTTTTCTAACAACTTGTCTTTGCCTCCCTCCAAAGCAAATAAAAACTTTCAATAAAAATCACACAAACCATAAACCTGACCCACCTTCGCCTATGTTCTCAACCACACAAATGAAAAACAAACATTAACAATCTCAAACTTAACTCTCAACAACAACAGAATCATGAAAAACATATGATTTTTTGTTTTGTTTTAACCTTAACATGCCCTTTCTTTCTTCTTCTTCTTCTTCTTCTTCATGCCAATCCAAAATACATTCCAAGAAGATGTTTCTTGCCCACAAAACTTCCCCTCTTTTTCTCCACAAATTCCATCCAAAAACTGCTACTAAGTTCAGGTGTATTCCCAAGAAATTCACTGTTTCTGCTTCACTTAACGCCATAGCTGCTGCTGCTGCCTCTGGCTCTGGTGCCACTGTCCATGGGGCCGTCACTTCTGCTATCACCCAAGTCGCTGTTACTGCCTTTGCTATTGCCTCTGGAGCTTGTCTCTCCACTAAGGTTGACTTTCTATGGCCCAAAATGGAGGATCAACAAGGTAATCTTCTGTTGTTTCCTCTTCTTTTTCTTGTGGGTTTTTATTTGTTGGGATTTTTTGCAGTTTTGGAATTAGAATTATGTACATCAATAAATTAGAAATAATAGTGTATTGCTACATTCAATTTTAGGCAAGCGCTATATTTGGGGAATATTAGTTGTGTGCTATGTTATCAATTGGCTATTAAGAACCTCCTAATAATCTCAGACTATGTTATCTTTTACGTTTTAAATTTAACTCTTGTTTCAAGCCTGTCTGTTGGTGTATAGTTTTTTGGACGTTCATTTTATTCTGCAGGCACTGGTTTTCAGTTTTTTAATTCTTACAATTGTGCATACAGCTATACGCTACGAAAACATTTTGGCTAAAATACTAAAAAAGGCCCTTGTTCTTTGTTAAATTTCCCAAATAAGCCCCTATCCTTCTATTGTTGCTTTTGTCTAATTGAACCTTATTTGGATGGAAACCATAAGAATCCGTTATCTTTACTATCTTAGGATCTAAATGTCACAAATGTGACAAAGTAGGAGCTCTGTAAATGCTGATGTGTTATGCCATGTCATGTAGCCTGTGCTACATGCCATGTAGGCACCAACTCAGCATATATTTTCTTATTTTGCCATGTAGACAATGATTTGGCAAAGGTAACAGTCACGTGTGCGCTGATGTGACAAAGATAGCTGACTTCAACAGTTTTGTTCAAAATAAGGACTTAATAAAACACAAATAGAACTTTAATGCTCAGTTGGATGCAATAGATGAGTTAGAGCTTATTTGGAAAATTTGAGAACATATTTTTTTATAATATTTTAGCTAAACATTTATTTATATACTTCTTCCCCAGGTCTTGTAGCCTTAGCTTATGATTAATCACTTGCTTTGTACTTGATAATTTCTTTCTGATTCAATTATTTACTTATCTTGATTCAAACTCAGTGTGTCTTTCTTAGAGGAAGCTCTATCTCTCTCATGCACATTGATTTACACATTTGAGCCTAGAGGACACTGCTTTTGATGCCTTCCCAAAATTATGGAATAATAGTTTAGCATAATGGATATAGTTTTCATTAGAAACCTTGTGTTCCTCCTTATTAAATTAATTATTAATTCTTGATGTTAGCTTATTAGCAAGAGCATGACTATAATTTATGCTCTTTATAATTTATAATTAGATGTCTTATCATTCACTGTCTACTTACTGAATATTTTCTTCATGTTTTCTGTTTCAATTTTCATGTTAACAATGTCATTGAATGTGGTGCAGGTTCTTTTACAGTGGAAGGAATAGATGTGACTGGCTATCCTATATTTAAGGAGGCAAAGGTTTGCCATTTCTTGTTGCCTTATGAGTTTGACTTGTATATAGTCCTCTTCTTCGACTAAAACACCGAATTTGTGAAGGCAGGTGCAAAAGGCTATTGCATTTTCAAAAAGAGCTCACCATGGGCAGTTCAGGAAAACAGGAGAGCCATATTTATCACATTGCATTCACACAGGAAGAATCTTAGCTATGTTGGTTCCATCAAGTGGCCTACGAGTATGAAACTGTATAACCAACTACTATTAAGTTTGTTGCATTGTGATGTGTCTGTGTTATTTTGTTCTTCTGATAATCTTTCAACGGCTTACTTTTTTTTTTTTTTGTGTTTCTTCAATAGCGCACACACACACACACATGCAAATTGCATGTAAGGTGCATTTATTTTATTCCTTCAGCATATGATGCTGTTTGACTCCTATATTGGACTTGTATTTTACTTCATTAATCCATCTCTATACTTGTAAACCAGTATATATGACTATTCCTGTCTTTCAGAGAAGCTAGGGAGCCATTATGATATCATGCAGGACAAGGATCATTGCCCTATTGTAGGGCTGGAAAACATCTTACAGTAAAAGAAATAGCCATTGTGATGTTTTAAACAGTAACTCTAGCCATTTTTATGTTCTAATGTTAATGGTTAATTGTTGGTTCTTATGATAACAATGATTACTCGGGTAGATAGTTAATTGAACTCAATTGGTGATGGTCTGGAAACTTAGTTCATTCTGTTATTTTCTGATAATATCATGTTGAGTCAATTGCATTATTTTTTCTTATTACAAAAAGTAGCCCTCAGAAGTTCCAGGGTTGCTCAAAAACATGCTTCACTCAATTAATTCCTTAACTAAGGTCCGAAAGTTTGCTGCAGGCTATAGACACAGTTGTGGCTGGGATATTACATGATGTAGTTGATGATACATGTGAAAGTTTGTTTAGCATAGAAGCAGAGTTTGGTGATGAGGTGGCAAGGTTGGTAGCTGCTGTTTCTAGATTAAGTTATATAAATCAGGTAAAATCTTAATTTTTATTGGTTCTGTTTGTAGAGTGGATCATCCTTAATCTTTATTTTTCATTAAAATATTTGTAAGCAGAAAGCTTACTCTATCTGGTATCTTATGCCTTGTTGACTTGCTGGGGTCTTGAAGAGCTGACTCCAGTCATGCAATCCATAGTTGGTTGTTTGGGCATGTTTTAAATTGTAAAAGAAAAAATAAAGTAGAAAGAAAAGAATAAGTAAAGAAAATAAGTGTCATATTGATGGAAGTATAGTATCATTTTTTTTTGTTAAATAAAATATTCTTATATTGACATGGAAAGGTCCAGCAACTCTGCAGTTATAAGTCATTTTGCATTCAATAATTAATTGTTGGAAAAATATTTTAGTTCTAAAATTGGAGATTGTATTCAGAGAAATTCCGAGAATGTGTAAGTCAACTCTTTCACCATATTCAAACTTCAGAAAACAAAAACATAACTTAGGCATTTGTATCTTCCTATCAATTTTTTTTTTCAATTCGGAAATTTGGAGAAATTATCTAGAAACAACTTACGACTTAGGTTTTCAAAGTAATCCTTATTTATTTCTTTTTCCTATTACAAAAAACAGAATGGGTTTTACTTCTGATATCTATTATGGTTTGTCTGGGAAAAATGTCTCATTAATTGATGGCAATGATAGGGGAACCATAATGACATTGCTGTCGAAGTAGAAAGTTTGAATTATAAATTCTTGTCCTGTCTTCTTATTTTTTCTTCTGCTTCCTTAGTGTAATATTTGCCATCTTTGATGTTTTTCTGTGTTGTACAATGTTCCATTTTCATGATCATACTCTTGTTTTTTGGATCCTTGTATGGTGATGTTTAACCCATCCCAGTATATATATATGTGTGTGTGTGTGTGTGTGTGTGTGTATGTATAAATGTTGTCATGTGATTCATCTAATATATCGTTTTGCAGCTTCTACGGAGACATCGGAGGGTAAGTGTTAACCAGAGTACCCTTGGTCATGAAGAGGTATGTGGTTAGAGAATTTTCACTATAAAAAAATAAGCGTAACGTGGTTGATGGAATTTAGAAACTGATTTGTAAGCTAAACCATAGGTGAAACTTCATGATTTATGTGGTCCACATTAAAATAAGCTAAATATCAACTGAGTATTTCCTTATGATATAACTAAATTGTAAATTCAGTGTATGACTTAATTATTTATTTTTAGTGCTTCTGGTTGGGAGGTCAGTCATAATGGTTTTGAGTGCATTTGCTGACTTGCAGTGAACTTTTAAGTCTGTACTGTTTTACACTTAAAAAGGAGTGGTCAAGAAGTAATTTTTAATACATAAGGGAAAAGGAAAAAAGAAACTGTAGAAAATGCATATTGCATGGATCTAAGTGATAGTAGTTACAAGTCACTGTGATATAAGGGTCTTGGTAGCAATTGTGTTGATTCTATCCCTAAGGGCGTGTTAAGTTCTATAGTTTGAAGCACTTGTTCTTGTGGTCCTCTTCTATATTTATCTCAATATATATGGGTGGTGAGGATGGCATGCCCTTAAAGAACTAGCTGGGTAGAAAACTGTAATATAGGGTGATAGATAAATAAATTAATTGGATTTTAGTTACAAGTATGTGAACACCATTTAGAAGCTGTTGTTTTCTAAATTTCACATTCTATTTTTTTCCTTTAAGGCAAATAATCTGCGAGTCATGCTCTTGGGAATGGTTGATGATCCTCGTGTGGTGCTTATCAAGCTGGCAGACCGTCTTCACAATATGAGAACCATGTAATGCCTCTTAAATTTTACCTGTTAGATTTATTATATATGCTGAAAACATATTTCCTGTTTGTTTCTCTATATGCTAGTTCATTGAAAAAACAACCAAGGCTTGGCCTAGCTGTTGTTATCCCTACTTAAGAGGGTCAAGGTCCAAGGTTTGGATCCACTACCCCCCTTGGACTTCGTTATAATTCATTGAAACGGAAAATTGGTTAATTCATTTATTGAATCTTTTAAATTTTAAATTTTAGGAATCTTGCATTATAGACACTGTTTTTTTTTTCCCATCCTTTAAACATATGTATAAGGAGATGTTGCTCCATGCGTGTCAAGCTCTGAGAAATTTATGACAAAATCTGTGGTACTATAATTCTTGAATTTTATGGTTCAATGGGTTGAAGGTTAATCATAATGGTATTGTTGTATGAATTGCACTAAAAGGTGTGATCATTCTTTACAGTTATGCCCTGCCACTAGCAAAGGCTCAGGCTTTCGCACAGGAAACCTTACTTGTTTGGTGTTTCCTAGCTTCTAGATTGGGTCTGTGGGCAGTGAAAGCAGAGCTCGAAGATCTGTGCTTTGCTGTTCTTCAGGTAAAGGAATGTGTTTCAAGTTCATGGGATCTGAAAGAGCATATTATAATAATATTATTAAAAATATTAGATGTTCTTGATGATTTTATTCTGCATATGGTCTGTAACCTTGTAATCCATTTATCATGTAGTTTGAGCATTATTAACTCTGTTTGAGTGGGACATATATTTTCTTTCTGGAACTTTTGATACAATGAGTTTGGTAATGTTATTTTTAAGTGGTATTATGCTTAGGGGTGTATTTTGGCCTTTCAAGTGGGCCTCTCTACTTATTGCCAATTGGATTTTGGTCGGATGCTTATCATGATATTAGAGCATTTCATGGTACTATGTTCATGATGTCCAAATGATATAGCCCTCTTTCTCTTTTTCGTTTTTAAATTATTGTTCAGTGAGGCTAAAGTAATTTATCAGAAAGTGGGATACATATTTTTTGCATGAGTTTTTAAATTGGGACATCAATCATGAACTTTTCACTTATTTTTTGAATGAGAAATATATTTCTGTTTTTCTTCCAAATGTAGCAAGAAAATTGTTTTGTAAATACACAAAATATGGGTCCTAACACTCATACAGTTTAACGTCAGTTAGAGTACGGTTTATGGATTCTATGTTCATAATCCAGCAGTGGCATATGAAACTGTGGTTACAAGGCTCTTGACAGCCAAGCATCAGATGGGCTTTTTATTACCTTTTAGATTTATGCAGGAACAGCAATATTTTGCATTGACTTTTAGGTCCATGCTATATGCACACTTTGGTTGAGTGTGCCATCAAGCATATAAATGTTGCATATAGCATGATTAAGATTATCAAAGATATAGAATGAGAAAATAATGGCAAGCTTTGATTGTTGGGAACCCTTATGCCATAGTGTTATAACAATCAATGTCATGACTTAAAATTCTTTTCTGGCAGATAGTATAGCTTCTTTTTTGCTTGACCTCTAATTGAAAATTCTGAATCCTTTCAGATTATGCATATCAAATAATTTTGTAACCACATTTGTTTCAATTTTGTGGACACTGGTGCAGCCTCAAATATTTAGGAAGCTGCGAGCTGATCTGGCTTCAATGTGGAGCCCATCAATAAAGGAGTGTATCCTAGACGAATATCTGCAAAAGCCAGCTGGTCCTCTATACATGAAAATGATTCAGTGCTTGAGGATGAAGATTCTATCAGTGATGAAGATATCACTAGCATTAAGGTAAGCATATAGGACAGAAACTGTGATGTGTCTATACGCTCATTATATTCTGTGGTTGGTTGAAAGCTTGCTTTTGATGTATTAGGATTTTGCCAATTTTAATGACCGCCTGCTGATAGCAAAAAGTTGTAATGCATAACGTTGAGAAATCCTGTCTTCCTGCCAGAAATCAACAAAGGATGAAAATTTTCTGGTAGACAGGTCATTTTAGCATCCCTTTGATAGACTAAATACAACTTGTTTTCTTCTTAGCGAACCACAGATAGTGTAATCAAAACACTTAATATGCTCCATCATTGGGCACCTTCAACATATGATCTTGAAAGATGTCTGTTACATTATAATTCTATACCGCATATTGACCACTGAACAGCATTGTTTGCTTCAAATTTTAAGTAAAAGACATTTGGTTGATGAATTTAATGCTGGAGCTTTCTGCTGTTGACATGAATTTTCTGTCCAAACTAGGCATGTCAAATACCATGTGATGATTGCAATCTGTAGTTATTGTTAATTTTCTGTCACATTTCTTTTGTTTAGCTTTACTGGATATTTTGGAAGAGTTTCATGCTTTTCCTTGACTATATGTTGGATACCTTTTGTTTACTATAAAATAAAATTCAAGAAGCAAATTGATTATTTTGAGTAATTAGTTCCAGTTGTTTTATATGTGCAGGATCTTTTGGAAGCTGTGGTTCCTTTTGACATCTTGTTGGATAGGAGAAAACGGGCTAACTTTCTTAATAATGTAAGAAGAAGTTCAAAGATGGAACCAAAACCGAAGGTTGTGCAGGATGCTGGAGTTGCTCTGGCATCTCTTGTTGTTTGTGAGGAGGCACTTGAGAGGGAGCTGTTAATATCAATTTCGTATGTTTTGCTCTTCTTATAATCTCTTGCTGCTGCTTGTTTCTAATAAAACTATTTTGGTTTTCTTAGTTTTACTTCCTGTGCATGTAGGAGCAACTATTGTTAGTTTAATCATATCTTCTAGGTGCTCTCATTCACTCCTCTTTTGCACTGCAGTTACGTTCCAGGGATGGAGGTTACTTTATCTAGCCGATTAAAAAGTTTGTATAGCATTTACAGCAAGGTATGAGTAACAACTGAAGTATCTGTATCAACTTTTGGATGCTTTGTTTCTTAACTGTAAAATAATATTATTGTGCATGTTTTTAGAGCCAAATGCAATCAAATCTTTTTCTTTGCCATAGTTCAAAATTTTGCTTGGTCTTCATATATAATTAACAGTATTGTTGAAGGTGTACAACTGTGATTATTTGGTAACTGGCAGCTCTTAGCTGCATATCTCATAGTAGAGTTAATTTCACTCCATGGTTTGAAGAGACATCTAAGAATCAATCTTGAACTCAATTTCTTATATGCTGTTGAACGCTTATCATCATGTAGGATCTATATAAGAGACTTTCTGTACTGAAAATCCTTATGACTCATTGGATCCTTGAAGCATTTCACTTGGCCATTCAGAAGAACTTATTGTCAGTCAAGCTAAAGTTAAAACGTAATTCTTAAATCTTTTAGTGAAAAATGAGCAAGCAGTGTGACTGTAATTTTGTTCCAAAAGTCCTTTACAGTCTCCTGCTGATGTTGAAGCTCTTGTTCTTATCTTGCTGTAGATGAAAAGGAAAGATGTTGGCATCAATAAAATATATGATGCACGTGCACTGAGGGTAGTTGTTGGAGACAAGAATGGAACCTTACATGGGCCTGCAGTGCAATGTTGCTACAGTCTTCTCAACATTGTACACAGGTATTTCAAAGTGTTTCTTCTATTATAATTAGCCTGGTTTCTTTGGAATTAATTTTAGTTAATGCATCGTGGTTTTTGTAGAAAATATGTGTATAGTAGAAGAAACAAAATAGATGTTTTTGTTTTTTTATAGTTTTATTTTTGTGGATAATTTCTTTGGCCTGTTGTAGCTATATTTTATAGGAATGTATAAGTTCTCAGTTTTACCAAATTCTTTAAGCCATACTTCTCACCATGCTGATTTTATTTTAAAAGAAATTATTATTAGTTACTCACACTTCTTTCTCTGCAGGCTTTGGACTCCAGTTGATGGTGAATTTGATGATTACATTGTTAATCCAAAGGCCAGCGGCTATCAGGTAATATTTTGCAATTATTTATTGATTTATTGCAGAAGTGAATAATATCAACAGTAGTCCTTCTGCAAATATAGGCCAAACATGTATATAACATGCTGCATTCATATATGCACAATAAATGGTAATAAGTTTCTACCTTCAAATATTCCTGTCTAGACAGTAGCTGGAAAATTATTTGTGAGAACTAGTACCTTATTGGCTAGGGCTTTGCTTTGTAGGAAGGACGGAAAAGGGTGAGGATGAAAAATTTGTTAATCCCATTATTAAAATTCATAACAACTTCCCACTTTGTAGCTTAACCATTAGATTAACAAGTTTTTTATCTTTTCTCCTTTCAATCCTTCCTACCAAGCAAAGTCTAAATCTTAAAGTGACTTTAAGAACATCTGAAATCTAACTTGTCCTCTGGATGGACTATTAACATCAATTTTGAACCACTAATCCAATGTAAAGGTTTAACATAGATTCATAGACTGTATTAAGCTGTATTTCCTTCTGAATTTCACGTCATGTACAAGTATTATCATGCAACAAAGCTAGACCCGGAAGGACATTAACTTTGATAAGGGCATGGGCTGGGATTGAATACCTAATATCCTTGAGCAAGACTATTGTTCCAATCTGAAGTATGTAAGTACTATCTAAACCTTGAACCATTAAAGTCAGGCAACCTAATATTCCACAATGATGTGCTATGCAAGTCGGAGATATATTGCACAAGTAGCTGTAACCAAGGATATTCAGATAAATATAATGGTCAGTATATTAATTTGAGATGCCCTTTCAAGTCATTTTAATGGAGTCAACATGTGAAAATAGTGCTTGATGTTAAATTTTGGGGTAAATGCTTTATTTAATTTATCTGAATATCTGTCGTGTTTACAAACTATCATTTTTGTGCCTAAGTAGATGTTGGACCTAAGAAGAGTTCAAAGACTGTTACTACCCCTAGAAGTCACTTCATACGAGTCTTTGAGAAATTAGAGATTCATATGATAGGGGATTAGACATCTTTATTGACAGTCTCACCTATTTAATTCCTGTAGTTTCAAATAAGCTTGGTTATATATTGATGTATCTCATGCTGTTTACTCTATTCTTGCCTATTGGTTCCTTAAATTTAGCTTACTCATTTCTTTCACAAGGTACCGCATCAAATTACAATGTCTATTTCATAACTTAGTAATAATTTGCACTCAATAATGGATCTTGTGTTGTTGTACATGTTGGGGAATTGGCTGAATTGGTTTCTGCCATGTGAGTTCAATTAAACCATTAGGTAATGCTAGGCAGTTTATCAACTTTTTAATCTGACAATGGACTGAATTCAATAATGGATAGAGACATTTTGTAGTTTATTAGGAATTCTTTTAGGAGTTCTCTTTTCTCAAAGAAGTTGTTCACTTATTGGAAGGTAAAATCTCTAACTTTGCTGTTGTCTTTAGATGATGTTATTTGTGAAGGCATTTGGCATGAAGTAATAAAGGGGATGATGAGGGTGAGAGCTATAGGTGATAGGATCACCCTATTTGGTATCACCTTAATGATTCTACATGGCCATGATCTCTCATCACTAAGGTTAAGTCAAATCTCTCCATAGTATCATGTCAGCTGGAAATACTCTTAGAATCCTGCTAGTAATCTTAGTATCGGACTTGGTGTAAGCTTTTCTATCTGTGACCTTAACAATGTTCTGTACTGATTTGAGCATCATTATGACTAGTGATAATTGAGCCAAATCATTTGTGAATATAATACAATTTGAAAAATTAACAATATAGAGGGCCTTAAAAGATTTGGAGGTTGTCTTTTATTCTTGCATGTTTTAACAAAATAAAATATGAAATATCATTCTTGAAGTTATCATATTATTTACCATTGTATTTTCATATGATGATTGTTATTGATTTATATGTGATCATCAGAGAATCCAATGAAGAGAATACAATTTGGAAAGATGAAGCTTAAGTTAAAATAGGAGCATGGAACAGTGATCTGCTATATACAGACAGTGTGGCTTGCAAGAAACAATTTATGTACCCAAGCAAATATTGACTCAAACAACAAACAAGCAATACTGGAAAAAGAGTGTACATAGGAGACAATAGTAATAGATTTTGTTAATTTTTATATGTTCAATAATTATAGACTACACAATGAAGTTACAACTCACAAGAAACATATAGGCTTACCAAATATCTAAAATGAAAATCTACAAATAAGTAATTTCCTAATGCTTGAAGCACAAAGCATTATATATTTTCTGCCGATATTTTGGGTCTCTTTTCAGACAAACTTTCCTTTGCCAATTGCAGTCTCTGCACACTGCAGTACAAGGCCCTGATGCCTCACCTTTGGAAGTTCAGATTCGAACACAGGTTCCAAACTTCTTCCATTCTTTGTATGATTTCATACTTGGGTTAGAGAGAGATTGATTTATCTAATAGTATGCTAATAATTGCTCAGAGAATGCATGAATATGCTGAACATGGACTTGCTGCCCATTGGCTTTATAAAGAAACAGGAAATGAATTACCTTCCATAAGCACCTTGGATGAATCTGAAATAGAAGAATCATCTTATCTCCCCAACAATCTGGATGATCAAAATTCCCTGGACTATGATTTGTTTCAAAAGTATAGCTCCCTGAAAGTGGGACATCCTGTCCTTAGAGTGGAAGGAAGTAACTTACTCGCTGCAGTTATAATCAAGTTTGTAACTCTAAGCCAATGTTCAAAATCTACCTGATAACCTTCACATTAACTAACTGCTGCAAAAAATTGCATTTACAGAGTTGATAAGGAGGGGAGAGAGTTGCTTGTTGCTGTGAGCTTTGGGTTGGCAGCTTCTGAAGCAGTTGCTAACAGAAGGTCTTCTTTCCAAATAAAGCGATGGGAAGCTTATGCAAGGTTATACAAAAAGGTGCTTTGCTTTGCTTCTAATCTTGATTATTCAGTCTAGTACATCGCAATGGATGATGCTATAATCACTCCACTCTGAATCACCAGCCATATGTCACCTTTTGGACCCCATGTATCACTGTGTGGGTTCCAATGATGGATGTCTGGGAGACTAATGAGAAATAAGGATTCTCAAAATCTGCAATACAATGTTGGGTCTAATCTAATTTTGCCATTTGCTGCCTTTATTTAAAAGAAAAGCTGGCCATTAAAAATCGAAAATTGAAATGATTTAGAGGAGAATCTCACAACTTGTATTGTGCTTGGACTTTTTTGTTCTTTATGGAGTTTGAGAGCTGGTTTCCATGTGCAAAATGTTGTGGTATTGATTAAGCTACCCTTCATACTGGATCAACATCACAGTATCTTTAGGACTCCAAATCTTTAAAATGCCTTGAGCTTTGATTGGTTTACATGTTCTGATAGTCTTAATACCGAAACTGGGGTGATTTTTCTTGTTAGCTTTAGAACTACTAGCTTTGCTGATATCAAATTTGCTTACCAGGTTTCGGACGAGTGGTGGTGTGAACCAGGACATGGGGATTGGCGTACTTGCCTTGAGAAATATACACTTTGTCGAGATGGTATATACCACAAGGTATATTTAGGCTTTAGCATGCACTTATTGATGAATTTAAATGTGTTCAATTTTTTGCTGATGCTTAGGGTGTCTTTGGATGAGGTATTTCAAAATTTCTTAGACTTTGAAATGAGGGAAATTAGAAATGGAGCAATTTAGAATCCAAGAATTTATAAAATCTATTCTGCTTTGCTACCATTTTCGAATTTGTCTGAAGATCAATGGCACATCCCATATCTTGTGAGTATCTCAGATTTTTCAGCAGTAAATGTATTTACTAAGCTTTTCAGGACTTGTGCTCATCAGTGTGCTTTTCATTCTTCCAGCATCTCCTGTTTTGACTGTTCAATTTTTAACTGATCATTATAGTTGGTAACTATAGGCAGATTTACTTACCTTTTTGAATTATTTCCATGCAGCAAGACCAATTTGAACGCCTTTTGCCAACCTTCATCCAAGTGATTGATTTGACAGATCAGGAAGAATCTGAATATTGGGCTGTTGTGTCTGCTGTTTTTGAAGGCAAACCAGTTGAATCCGTTGCATCTTGGCCCAGCCTAGAGTATGTTGCTTCCAATTCAATTGAAGCTAGCATCAACCGCAAGGTCTGGTTGCAATAATCTTACCATTTCTATCACTAAAGTAGGCATTGTGATTAGTTGGGTTTATTAGAAGTATCTTCCTTCTGTTCGTATTTTCCATTCAAAGATACCATGTTAGTACTTCCATTTAGCTAGCACATGGCATGAATCTAATTCTTTAATTTAAGGGTTATTTAGATTGAGACGTTCCTGTTTATTTATGCAAAAAATATCAGATTAGACTAAGAAATTTTTGATAAAACTGTCGGAATTATGACATGCTTTTTCTTGGTACTTGTATATGCAAGACATGTTGGGTTGTACGAGTGTAACTTTCCAAACATGCAATATGCAGAGAGCTGCTTTTCCTTGTTTCTTGTATCTATGAAACTTTGCTCTAAAAAATTATTAAACATTTAAACAATTTTATAAACTTTTTTCCTCTGATCCTATATTTATTTCTCTCTTTTTTCTTGGCCTTGAGCCTAAGACTATCAATCTGGATGGCATGTATTAAGTTAGAGATTTCAGTTACTCCAACCATCCTGCTTTGCTACTTCAGTGATCCTATGATCCTCTCGTCATTTGAATGCACATTTCTACTTTTCACAACAGTAAACCTATTCAAACACTTTTTCTCTAAATGCAAACATTACACAGGTGCGTTTGTTGCGGAAAATGCTTCGGTGGGAAGAGCAACTACGTTCGGAATCAAGTTTTGGAAGACGAGATGGTGGAGCAAAATCCAATGTCAACCCTGATTCTGTTGTCCTTGGGGAGGTTGTTATTATATGTTGGCCTCATGGTGACATAATGAGATTGAGAACTGGAAGCACTGCTGCAGATGCTGCAAGAAGAGCAGGACTCGAGGGAAAGCTAGTTCTAGTTAATGGTCAACTTGTATTGCCTGGCACAGAGCTCAAAGATGGTGATGTCGTAGAAGTAAGATTGTAAATATACGTGACATAACTGATTTGCATATATCATAGGGAAAAACAGAATTCATTGGAATTTATTTATCAAATGTGAAAGTAGTTGATATGGGTGAGTGGAGTCGAAGTATGCAGGGCATGATGGTCTGTGATTGGATTCCATTGACATTCAATGTAAATACAGAAAATTGTAGAGCATGAATGAAAGGCAAAATTTCTCTACTTCTATCCCCTCCTATTAAACACTTGGGTGACATGCATGACAGCTACTTCAGTTCTTTCAGTGTTTGCCATGCAAGGAAAAAGGTAGACAGCTAAAGCTTTTCAACTTTCCCAAACTCCCTTTGTCTTTAATTTATATTTATATAAACTCTTATTTTAAATAAAAGATTTATTTGTATGAAAATTTATTTAAGTACAAATTAAAAATTATATACTTATTTAGATATAAATTAAAATTTAAGAATTTATTTAAATACAAATTAAAAATTAAAAATTTATTTAAATACAATAAAAGTATAAAGATTTTATGAAAACAGAGTCATAAAATTTGAGGGCTACTCTATAATTTACTGGAATTGGCCATGAAATCCAACACTGACTTTCATGAATATGCACCCAAAACGTTAGCATACAATATATTACATTGAAATATTATGGAGACACTGCCAAATTTAGACGCCTGCTTACCAATATTTTTGAAGAACAAAATTGTATTTCAATGCTGCTGGGGGTCTAAAGCTCTAGTCATCAAGACATGCCATAAACCATATCTCACTAAAACAGAGTTAAAAGTCACAACCCACTGAACTAGCAGATCCACTCGTTACAGGTTTCAATTGTATTTCAAGCCATAAGCGTCCTCAGAAAAGCATGGATCATCGCGCCCTCTCAAGTAGGAGCGGAAAACAAATGACCTGGCGATCTGC